TTATAACGACTCCCAGTCTCATGATATTGTCACTAAAATGCATACATTCTGTCCAACCTTCACTCAAGGATATGATACATAGAAAACAGAATAGGAGAACGATGAAGTGCCCAGTAGGTTCAATGATGCCAAATAGACATAATGCTTACGTACAAGGATTTTTCAGCAAAATTTGTAGGAGAAAAATAATTATCCTCAAAAAGAGAGAAGAAAACTGGGTGAAGGAAATTTTCATCTCCAACGAGTTATTTTCCCAATGCTGTAAATTCGTATTTATATACACCATAAGCACATGACAGTCTACAGAGCAACCAATCTCATATTATCTAGTCCTGAGTGCAGACGGAATTCTAACGATCACATTTACAATGTGATCACCAAAGTAGGAGACTCATCATCGTGGTGTACTTTGATGGATACATGTTAGTTGGTTGGAGGCTATAGGCAGGAAGCCCTGAACCTAGGTTTCATGCTCGTTGGCACTCGTGAGCAAGGTGTATCTGCAACCTTGAAGGAATTGATGTCTCCAGTAGGATTAGAACCCGCGTCACCCAATGTCATAGCGACTGACTGGGATTTGAGTTGCATTCAAACTTAAATACTCTTATACACATGCTTTGTAGTTTAAAGATCCTACTTATCCATTTGTGTAAAATAATTTAGTTTACCAGTTCCTTTGCAGTGATTAAGAGGTTAAATACATAGGTCAAAATAGTTACTTAACCTGTCTTGCATAAAAGCTTAGATAAATTAAGTTTACTAGATAAGAGATCTAGAGAAAAGTTCTGCTGTAGCTATATATACGATTACACACAATCACACAATAGAGTGGGACAGAGCAACACCATTGAAAGCTAACTTAAATGGGTGCAGGGAGAAACTGATAACCAAACCTTTGCTTATCAAATCACCACCACATACATGTGATAAGAATGATTCACCACATGTTCCAAACATGTGGAAAATTCTACTACTCTTATCATAAAGGTGGAGAGAAAATTAGAACTGTTGAAGCCAAGTCTCAAAGTCATGGAGTCACCTAATATGAATGAATATGGACAACAAATTAGGTTCAAAACGCTATCCAGTAAACAATACTTTTCCACTGTATGGTACATTAAATAGACAAACTAAAGTAGAAGTCTACATTTACTTAAATGGCTCATTCCAACAGTCGATACTTCTTGCATTGATACCATGTTTTGTCTGATCGTCTTGTGAAACATTCCAGCCTAAACCTACTTCACGTAATATTATTCAATGAGTTAGCGGGTGAATAGGTACGTGGAGGAAGTGTCCGAGATATTTGAGTCAATGGAAGTTCACAACTTCACCAACTGCCTAACCTCTTTTACCTAAAACAGCTTGATGTCTACATGACTTATTTGGTGGTGCCTATACTAGAAAGGCATCTTGGTGGGACATGTGAAGCCTTCTCATGTCCTACACTATCAACTGTCATGGTTCAGATTCATGCAACAAAATAGAGTGAACTGTAGCGTAGCACACTTGACCCTTGAAACAGACAGTCGGTTTTCATGGCAGTATTAGGAATGACGTAAGCTGAAAAACGCTAAGCTAGTATTTTGCATGTGTACAGAGATGCTATCTGTCACTGATGCACCAGTTTCTGTCCGACTTCTCATTTAAACTAAGTGGTCAACACACCTTACCACTTGACTCCTTATTGTTAGAAGGGTTGCCAACGCAGATGAATCCTGGAGAAAACATTTGCCTTCTGATGGTGAGAAACACATCCCAAACATTTTTATAAATTTCTAGTCAAGGTGACACGAAGATTGCATCTTGACATCTTGTCGCAACAGGACTACATGATTTGCGTAGTCCAGGTCTACTACGGAGTCTCATATGGCAAGATCAATCTCTGCAAAGTCAGAAGACAAGACAAAGGACTCCATAAATCCATCTGTGATAAAGTTGAATAAAATAGAGAGAGAGAGAGAGAGAGTGAACATCCTTGACCGACACCGCTAGACGTACGGAACTCACCTGACGTTACAGCCTAAGTTCTTAATAACCAACGGGTGTTGTAACATACTGACTTAGACAGAGAGATGTAATCACAAAGCACCATCTTCAGTAAGAGACACTGCTGTTAGAGAACTCGATCAACAGAGTCGAATGTTATCTTCAGGTTTAAAAATACAGCCAGTGTCAGCCGTCTGTAAGTGTTCGTTTTTCCACAACCCGGTGGAAAGGGAGTATCTGGTTTTCTTGGGTTTGCTGTTACCCATCTCCACTTAAATGCCTGATAGCCACAGAACCCATAATCTCAGACATTATGTTCGTCAGACTGATTCCCTTGTTACTACTGGAGGATTTTTCCCCTTTCTTGAAGACTAGAACAGTCAGTCAGTGACTGAGACCAGTTAGAACATACCATATGTCATCTCCAAATACGAGCCACGACACCAATAAAATTCAACAACTGTCCTTGAATAACTGCAGTAATAAATAATCTAGCGCTGTTGCTATTATTGGTTTCAGGCTACTAGCTAGTGTCGCCTCTGCCTTTTTCGTTTCTTTGATCATCACTACCAACACTGCTCACGGTCACTGCGTAAGCCTTTTGCCAGTCTACTTTTGAGTTGTTTCCGTTCCTCATTGTACTCATAGCATGCAGAAATGCCTAAACGTGTACTAGCTAATCCAGAAGAAGTAGCTGACATCCACTGTTACATTCGAAACTGTTTCAGAGGGTTAATTCCAGTCTTTAACACTGTTTGAAAAATAAATTGGAGATATAGTCAGGCTACTACAGGAAGAATGACGTTATCCCATTGCGATGGTTCTCTAGCCAGTTCCTCTTTGAAAACAGCCCTAGTTCCCCATAAATGAATTCATCAATGAAAGGTTTTGAAGCTCCATCTTAAACTAGTCGAGTGAAAGTGGCTGACACAATAATACTAAAAAAGAGAAACACCACTAACGCAAAGAGACACCTGGACTGGAGACTAATAGTGACTCTTCCCCCAACAACTGTTGCTTCACAGAGCCAAAAAAATCACAGATCTAAACAAAGAGTTTACTGAACCGTGTGGTGAGGCGTGAGCTCTCGACTAGGGTCTTCGAAGTGTTAGTAATTAGTGGTTGGAGACAGTGATACAACTGGATATCGGCCATAATTACCTTAATGTATACACCATTTATCATCTCTCAAGTCTTGAATATTTTCATTACCCTTTCTAATATTTATTATCTCTTCCCTCATATGTTTTTGTCTACTTTAATATTACTCTTTTTATATTCATTCTTTTCCACGTTGCCGTGAAAAGTAGCTACTCGAACTTCTGCATCAGAAAGTCTACAAATACTAGATATGAATTTCACTTGGGTCTTGTATATCTACACCTCAACCAGCCAACTATCACTGAAATAACTATTGTAGACTGGCACTTTATGAGAACGAAAATGCAGACGTCATCACGAAAACATTTGAGAAAGGATGTTAGTGACTTAAATTCAATTTGAATGGAGTAAAATATATGACAAGTAAAACCAAATCATAAGACAATATAATCTGAATAAGATGCAGCCTAAAAGTATGGCAAAAGTCAAATACGAAATATAGTATCGCTTTCTATTACTTTGGTGGTGATATGAAATGCATGACCACTTGATTGAGATTAAATGAGCCTAGTTTAGTTGACATGGCATCAGCACAATTAAATAAACAGAGAGTCATAACCACATACTGAACATCTTCACTTGTAGCACTTAATGTTTGGGTTACTCTTTTGTATTTCGATCTGAGATCTCACTATCAGGTTATCAAAGCGTCACATCATTTCAAATTTCTGTCTTATTTTATTATTATCATTATTATTTTTTTATGTACTGCTATTATGCATCATCATTGTGCGGAGTAAAGATTCAGGTTTGAACTGTGATCAAATATACAACAGTATATCAGCTTTTTGACATAAAATGGCGTTCAGTTCAATTATAAATCAATCAGTTAGTGATGATTGTTGAATTGGTAGGCATTTCATCTCTTAAACGTAATCAGTAGTACTTGCGGATTTCATTTTCATCATGATACTGGTTCACTACTATTCATGTCTCAAAAAACGATCAAGGTTTCATTCAGTATATGCTTGATTTTCGCTAGTGACAGGTGGAGGGATTGCAAAAACTGGAGAAAGGACTGTGAAAACAGTACGGAGGTACTCATCAGGATAGGAACAAATAATTTTCTACTGTAAAAACTTTGAATATTTGTATCACATCGTATCATATATTAACAAAATTAAAATCACAAATATTTGTCTATATTCATAACTTGAGATTTTGCACACGGACTACACAATCATATTGCCTAAACAGACTTAGACGTATACAGCAAATCATGCACCAGAAATAAAACAGATCTCCAAAAGTTCTGCAGCAACCGTTCGCAAATGAACGTTCGTTAGATTCAAAACACTAGAAAAAGCGAATTTATTGAAACATAATGAATAATTCTAGTTATCTTTCAGCATTACAATCGAAAACAATCAGAGACAAAACAATTAATAAGAGAACATAGTGGGAAAATAACTAAAATAACTCCGTGACACAAAACCAAATTTATGCAGGTCTGTAGAATGGAAATATGCTCAAAAGAGCTGGAACCAAATCAGAAGGCAGACAATTGTAATGTCCTCCCAAGACTCCGCAAAAGTGCTCATTAATCATCATTCTTGAATAAAATAAATCAGTCATCACAATCATTCGATCATCAAACAGTGTTAAACTTCATATCAAGCAAATTCTTCGAATTGATCAACAGAGTGAGAAGTAACTCCATCCAGGCAACACGTCCTTGTGTCCTCCGTATCCCTCAAACACACGGCGAGTACAAAGAATACCAATTTCAACATCCTAATCTTCATCATGTCAAAACACCCTCTCTTGACCCTATTTCCCCTATCCACATCCTATGAAGTATCAACACTTCCCTTCTCTCTCTCCCCCTCATCCCCTCCCCCCCCCCCCCCGATAGAAACAACTCTCTCTTCTGATATTTTGTCATGTTCACGGTAAAGAAGGTGTGTCGTCCTCTCAAATGTCCACTCATCTACATGGTAAACTTGTCGGAGCGCATTTCACAAGTGTATTTGTTAATTTGTCGTTTACCTTCTTCTTCACGCCCACATGGAAAGCCCAAGTCCGATTGAATAATTTCCTACCCCCATACATATGTCTCTGACTGAGAGACTAGCTCTGATGAGTTGAAGACGAAACACCCAACATCTGACAATTGGTTTTATTATGAAAATACGAAAACCATAAAACCGAGAAAAAGAATAATACTTAAGAAGTCTACTACAGGCATCTTGCAGGTAGTGTTCACAGTAGTTTCAGAGTCTTTATCATGAGAACGACAATTGATCGGGTGGACAGCAGATTTATGATTTATCAGAAGTCAGGAACGTTGGGAACCGCTGCATAACCTGAAATGGAAGTAAAACAAAATAATGTGTATGGAAATCAGGTGTGTTCCTTAGATTTCAGTCATAAACACATTGAAAGCTCGGCAGTGACTGACCAAGGTTCAATCGCGTACTGTCGTATTTCCAATGCCACTTGTTCAGAAGCCACAATAACACTTGCGAGCAAGCAGTCGGAATCCAGCTATTAATGATAATTGACTTTATACTGCGTAACATAATCGGTTCCATTCATAAACATCGCGACGAAAACAAGAACAACCAACGCTTGGACAACGCAGTTGGTTCTCTGTCTTCCATCTCCTTCTCGTCAACGTTGTACGCGCTAGAGCACTCGTGTGATATTTGTCCATGCAAATGCATGAGAATGCTCTACATATTAGACATTGACAGAGAAGGGAATGGTTCTTGTGTAAAAGTGAGGGGGACCATGTCGACCAAAAGCAGTGGTTTATTCAGGTCATGGTTACCCAATGTTAACACTGACAGATGACTGTAGTGGCAGGCTGAGACATTTGAGGGAGATGCGTTAGCAGCATGTCTAAAAGCTTAGATTTCGGTGAGTGCAAGTAGAAAAGGTTTAGCAATAGGGATTCTTAGCATGGTGATCAGTCATTTACTACCATTCTAACTGAGGAGTGCAAAGCGATTGAACATAAAAATAGTATGGTTCGCACAAACAAACAGAACCAATCCACACAGAGTGAGTTGAAGGTTAATTACTACTTTGCTCTGAATCCACAAATTCGAACCAGGCATCCTGGCATCTGCCGACCCAGTGAATCCAAGTAGACAATATCCATCATGTTTAACAATGATCACAACCAGCCAAAATTTGGCAGCTACTCATGTATCCACCAAGTATTTGTCCATCGGCCACTTAAGGCCATCCTGTCCTCTAACACACATTCCCTTCACATAATTATGCAAACTCTAGCACCAACCAACCGTTCGATCATCCCCGTACATGTGCTCTGCTGATTACACGTCGATTGGTGAATGCAAGCAGATTCGAGATAAAGTATATACCTGTCAAATCTCAGTAGTAAACGTTTCCCTACAAAGGAAAACTAGTTATACTGTTGACAAAGTGATATTCAGAGGAGCACATATCCTCCATCTCCATTGAATCATCACATAACCTGTCGTCAGAATGAGATAGAGCAACGCATACATTCTTTCAATAGTTCTTGATTCGACTGTTCCCATCGCCTACGGAACCAGTTCAAATGTAAGCGTCAGAGAATAACCATTTCATCCCGAACACTTCTCAATGACATCGATTCCCCACATCAGTCTATCTAATCGGACAGGTTATCGGGTGATGAGGAATAGCATCTAGACCGCTCTCATTCCTTCTATCTGGCGTAACAGAAGCAATTAACATTTGGATGTTCTGTATGCAACGCACCCTTTATACAGATAAATCAATAACTTCTCCGTCGAAAGTTCAAATCAAGGAAGCAAAAACAGTTGATAATCTCACCTACCACGAGTCTCTTTCAGTATATTCGAAAATAGGATCTCTTCTAGAAATGAAACCACATGTTTTCAAAACGCAGTAGAAGTCTCCTCGTGAGATCCGATCCAAAGACAGAACCTTAGTAGTCGGATGAATAGGAAGCAATGAAATATACTCAATTCATAGTATTCTTCAAAACCGCTCATTCCTACCTTACCGAGAGCTCACATCGACAAAAGCTGAACCAGCAGCACAACACTTGATTGCATCCAACTATCCATCGTTAACCTCCACCTCATTTTCTTCGAAATACCACCTCCATGCCAAAACAAATCAACTAGCTAAACACAAGAGTTGAGTCTGCCATGTTCGACACGGAAAACACTCATGGGTATGCAGATCCACTGACAAGTTTACTAGACATTCGCAGACAGTCTTCTCGAGACTACTCTATACAGGTAATTAGAAGTCAGCATATCAGAGTGCATGTATTGGGGCACTGGACAGTGGAGAAAGACACTATGAGTAGCTGAAAAATTGCGTACTGTTTCACCAATATAAAGACAATGAAAACCACTGTCACATCAGTGTGTAGGAACACACATTCCATCAGTTGACGTTCTGTAAATTGTGAACATCTACAGCTGAGACCAAAATATAGAGCATCAATCACATCCAAACTATTGTGTACATGGAGTTCCACATCGAAAAACTCAGGTAGATGTGTCAAACCATCACTACGTGATAATATCCCAAGATATATGCGGCACCAGGGATATACCTTCATATCTAGTGGAGCAAATCAGTCTCCCCAAAACCTTACTTGCTACTGTAATATTGGATATTACGGTACAACAAGTCCACTTTCCACGTATAACTCTCACATCCATGTTGATAAATCACTGGATATTACAAGTGGAAAGTTAGGTGACGGACATTGAGATGAGAAAGTCGACGATTACTAATCCCCACATAGCTTGACTCAAAATCAGAAGTTAAATGCTGAGATGGGATCGCACTATGCAACAAAAGCTACCAATTTACTAACCACTCACCTCTTGGTCCATATAACAGCTTGTAACAAGGTTCATTGCAATAAATTCTGCCATCGCGCTAAAATATGAAAACGATGAAATCAGGATTAGTGTTTCATGCTGTGTTCTTAATCAAACCCACTTCAACAAAACTCTTGTCTCCAATTAATTGAAAACCAAATCTGTTCTCATCAGAATACAGACAAATAAGCTCAGTGAAGTGAGACGGATTGGTCAAAGATAGTAAATATTTCGAGCAGCTTACAATGAAAACTGTAGTGATGAACTTCTGGATCACTGTTACAAATTCTCTCATGACTCTAATAACATGTACGCTTTTGTATGCTATGAACAAGTAGGCTACGGAGACTGAAAGATGTTTTTGATCATAGACGGTAAACGGTGTTTATATCAATGCACGGAAACATTTCGACAAGATATTGGTTCACGATGGTGATTTTGAAGATTGATTTACTTATGTGATATGCTTTTTGTACCTATGAGTAAGGTTTTTGAAGTAACTGCACATCGGGTGTATCGACAATCTACTTCACACATTCCTCGGAAATGGGAAAGTACTGACTGAAGTGGTCGCATCGACACGTATTACGACCAAGGAATTGACTTGTTAAGCATAAAGAAGAACATTGCGTTGGTTGATTCAGCTAGCTAAGGTATATAGGAATATGGATATCGTTAATCTGCACCGTTTCAAAATAAAAAAGGAGTGGATGTGAAGAATCAGATTGTGGAATTTGTGACCGCAGAAAAGTTGAAGAACGAATATGTTCGCAGATAACTTATTGGGTGGAACATTAAACCATAGATTATATGTGCAATATGCAGAAACGAAGAGACAGCATAAACAAAAGAGAGACAAGTAATATCCCAAGAACAACATACTCCGTCTTATGTCAAGCTATGAAACTGAGTGGAAGTGTCACAAATGACAGCCCTTAGCTTTATCTGTAAGCATCCCAATTCGGAGCATTGTCATCGCCTAACGAACTCACACTTCCAGTCGAAATACTTCCATACAGATTCTGCAAACGGACACGCATTTTGCAAATATTTATATTGACCCAGTCAAACTTTCCACCCACATAACCATCCATCCTACTCACAACTGAGTTAATATGGTGCAATACGCCAGATTAAACTTGTAGATATACAGTAAGCACTTAGTACTAATCAATGAAGATTCATAACCTGGACGATACTCTTTCGTCCATCAGTATCACTACTCGAGTAGAAATATCAAATGAAAAGCACAATTTAAGGAAACTAGTGAGAAAAAACAGCATTATTTCAATATTCAGACATGCGAAATGTTGGTTTCAGTCGATCTACTGACTATGTGAGACTGTGCATAACCACACTGTCTATCAGTATACATATCATGTTCCTAAGCATTCAGCACAATCGAACTAAAAATATTTGGAATGTCTATTCACGCAATCTGTCCCACTAGATGCATCAATGTAAGAAGTGTAGATTTGTGAAAATTAGTGCCATGATGCTATATGGAATACAACAAAGTCGTATGATGAGCAATTTCTTACAGAAGAATAGATAGGCAATACTCATCATACCTGACGACCTTGAAACCGGGTGGATGAAGAACCTAGTCGTTAATCCCGTCGGTTCACTACTGATTAGCTAAAAACTGACAGTATGCCTTTTATCATTCCCGTGGTTGTAGTAATCATAACTGTATAACTGTACAATACACTAAGAGGAAGGTTAACTATCCATCTTGTTAAAAAGGAAGAAACTCTGGTCAGTTGTGGTAGTGGTTTTGTTCCCAGTGTCGATAAGATGTGGTCACCAGTACGGTTCCCCTCGACTATCCTGTCACTGTACGAAGGTAATATTCAGTGATAAACTATTCATATCAATCTAAAAGGATAGATAATAAATGAAACTGTCTCAATCATACATTGATCTTTGCTCCATATCACTATGTGATTGGATGGTTGTAAAGGTCACCACTTTCTGTACCAAAACTTGAATATTAACCTGAAAACTTAGTGTCAGATTCATACTCTTGAAAAGGATCTTCCTAGTAAGATCGAAACGTTGAGGAATAATACAAAATATTTGTTTATTTTGTTACTTGTTCTAATATACTACGCCGGGATTACACAAGTAAAAATACATCCTATACAATGAAACAATTTCTTGTTTAAAGGGAAATTGTAAAGAGGTTCGCTTACTGAAAAGTGAGAACCTGGAGTTAGTGTTTTGTTGCACCTGCCACACTTCAAACATTGTCGATGCCAATCTAAACCAAGTGAACTGACTCGTTCAACTATTCAATAAAAAGCATGTAATCATACTCACCAAAGTAGACTTCTCTATCGCACATTGGACATCTCATTGCTCTGGAAGGTAAATAACCCAGAAATGGAACAAGAAAAGCAACAGACTAATGCCAACTTAGCACAATCTTCAACTCACACGTTACTTTCTGTCTAGTGGTTTTATTACCTATCCAAACAGCTTTTTCAGCTACTTTCCATCATATGATGCATCATCCGCTGTTCTCAAGGTCAATAAACACCAATGAATGTCATACCTGGTGGAGGTAATAATCCAATAACATGAAATGGTTACCGAGAAGGAGGGGAATAATTAAGTATCTCTCAGGTGGTCTAATTAGGTGATGAGATGATCACATCACTCTTCATTCCATATGTGAATCTGCCACACATGCTACAAATAACTGACATGAGAAGTAAGATAAACTTCACTATAAGCCGGAAGCATGTGATAATACTCACAAGATTAGGATCTGATTGTTCGTTTCCACTGGTTTATTTATCACAGATGAATAAAAATGTTCTAAATGAAGACTTCGATGGTGATCTCTATGACTACCACGATGATTATCACCCACCCATCCCCCACCCGACACCCGAATATCGGAATACCTAAGCTGTTGCTGAATACGGTGACTGTTTAATTAACTATACTTGAAACTATCCGTCAAACAATATCTACTTGGTTAGTATAATTCTATAATTCAGCAACAGCTTAGGTATTCCGATATTCGGGTGTCGGGTGGGGGATGGGTGGGTGATAATCATCGTGGTAGTCATAGAGATCACCATCGAAGTCTTCATTTAGAACATTTTTATTCATCTGTGATAAATAAACCAGTGGAAACGAACAATCAGATCCTAATCTTGTGAGTATTATCACATGCTTCCGGCTTATAGTGAAGTTTATCTTACTTCTCATGTCAGTTATTTGTAGCATGTGTGGCAGATTCACATATGGAATGAAGAGTGATGTGATCATCTCATCACCTAATTAGACCACCTGAGAGATACTTAATTATTCCCCTCCTTCTCGGTAACCATTTCATGTTATTGGATTATTACCTCCACCAGGTATGACATTCATTGGTGTTTATTGACCTTGAGAACAGCGGATGATGCATCATATGATGGAAAGTAGCTGAAAAAGCTGTTTGGATAGGTAATAAAACCACTAGACAGAAAGTAACGTGTGAGTTGAAGATTGTGCTAAGTTGGCATTAGTCTGTTGCTTTTCTTGTTCCATTTCTGGGTTATTTACCTTCCAGAGCAATGAGATGTCCAATGTGCGATAGAGAAGTCTACTTTGGTGAGTATGATTACATGCTTTTTATTGAATAGTTGAACGAGTCAGTTCACTTGGTTTAGATTGGCATCGACAATGTTTGAAGTGTGGCAGGTGCAACAAAACACTAACTCCAGGTTCTCACTTTTCAGTAAGCGAACCTCTTTACAATTTCCCTTTAAACAAGAAATTGTTTCATTGTATAGGATGTATTTTTACTTGTGTAATCCCGGCGTAGTATATTAGAACAAGTAACAAAATAAACAAATATTTTGTATTATTCCTCAACGTTTCGATCTTACTAGGAAGATCCTTTTCAAGAGTATGAATCTGACACTAAGTTTTCAGGTTAATATTCAAGTTTTGGTACAGAAAGTGGTGACCTTTACAACCATCCAATCACATAGTGATATGGAGCAAAGATCAATGTATGATTGAGACAGTTTCATTTATTATCTATCCTTTTAGATTGATATGAATAGTTTATCACTGAATATTACCTTCGTACAGTGACAGGATAGTCGAGGGGAACCGTACTGGTGACCACATCTTATCGACACTGGGAACAAAACCACTACCACAACTGACCAGAGTTTCTTCCTTTTTAACAAGATGGATAGTTAACCTTCCTCTTAGTGTATTGTACAGTTATACAGTTATGATTACTACAACCACGGGAATGATAAAAGGCATACTGTCAGTTTTTAGCTAATCAGTAGTGAACCGACGGGATTAACGACTAGGTTCTTCATCCACCCGGTTTCAAGGTCGTCAGGTATGATGAGTATTGCCTATCTATTCTTCTGTAAGAAATTGGCTCATCATACGACTTTGTTGTATTCCATATAGCATCATGGCACTAATTTTCACAAATCTACACTTCTTACATGATGCATCTAGTGGGACAGATTGCGTGAATAGACATTCCAAATATTTTTAGTTCGATTGTGCTGAATGCTTAGGAACATGATATGTATACTGATAGACAGTGTGGTTATGCACAGTCTCACATAGTCAGTAGATCGACTGAAACCAACATTTCGCATGTCTGAATATTGAAATAATGCTGTTTTTTCTCACTAGTTTCCTTAAATTGTGCTTTTCATTTGATATTTCTACTCGAGTAGTGATACTGATGGACGAAAGAGTATCGTCCAGGTTATGAATCTTCATTGATTAGTACTAAGTGCTTACTGTATATCTACAAGTTTAATCTGGCGTATTGCACCATATTAACTCAGTTGTGAGTAGGATGGATGGTTATGTGGGTGGAAAGTTTGACTGGGTCAATATAAATATTTGCAAAATGCGTGTCCGTTTGCAGAATCTGTATGGAAGTATTTCGACTGGAAGTGTGAGTTCGTTAGGCGATGACAATGCTCCGAATTGGGATGCTTACAGATAAAGCTAAGGGCTGTCATTTGTGACACTTCCACTCAGTTTCATAGCTTGACATAAGACGGAGTATGTTGTTCTTGGGATATTACTTGTCTCTCTTTTGTTTATGCTGTCTCTTCGTTTCTGCATATTGCACATATAATCTATGGTTTAATGTTCCACCCAATAAGTTATCTGCGAACATATTCGTTCTTCAACTTTTCTGCGGTCACAAATTCCACAATCTGATTCTTCACATCCACTCCTTTTTTTATTTTGAAACGGTGCAGATTAACGATATCCATATTCCTATATACCTTAGCTAGCTGAATCAACCAACGCAATGTTCTTCTTTATGCTTAACAAGTCAATTCCTTGGTCGTAATACGTGTCGATGCGACCACTTCAGTCAGTACTTTCCCATTTCCGAGGAATGTGTGAAGTAGATTGTCGATACACCCGATGTGCAGTTACTTCAAAAACCTTACTCATAGGTACAAAAAGCATATCACATAAGTAAATCAATCTTCAAAATCACCATCGTGAACCAATATCTTGTCGAAATGTTTCCGTGCATTGATATAAACACCGTTTACCGTCTATGATCAAAAACATCTTTCAGTCTCCGTAGCCTACTTGTTCATAGCATACAAAAGCGTACATGTTATTAGAGTCATGAGAGAATTTGTAACAGTGATCCAGAAGTTCATCACTACAGTTTTCATTGTAAGCTGCTCGAAATATTTACTATCTTTGACCAATCCGTCTCACTTCACTGAGCTTATTTGTCTGTATTCTGATGAGAACAGATTTGGTTTTCAATTAATTGGAGACAAGAGTTTTGTTGAAGTGGGTTTGATTAAGAACACAGCATGAAACACTAATCCTGATTTCATCGTTTTCATATTTTAGCGCGATGGCAGAATTTATTGCAATGAACCTTGTTACAAGCTGTTATATGGACCAAGAGGTGAGTGGTTAGTAAATTGGTAGCTTTTGTTGCATAGTGCGATCCCATCTCAGCATTTAACTTCTGATTTTGAGTCAAGCTATGTGGGGATTAGTAATCGTCGACTTTCTCATCTCAATGTCCGTCACCTAACTTTCCACTTGTAATATCCAGTGATTTATCAACATGGATGTGAGAGTTATACGTGGAAAGTGGACTTGTTGTACCGTAATATCCAATATTACAGTAGCAAGTAAGGTTTTGGGGAGACTGATTTGCTCCACTAGATATGAAGGTATATCCCTGGTGCCGCATATATCTTGGGATATTATCACGTAGTGATGGTTTGACACATCTACCTGAGTTTTTCGATGTGGAACTCCATGTACACAATAGTTTGGATGTGATTGATGCTCTATATTTTGGTCTCAGCTGTAGATGTTCACAATTTACAGAACGTCAACTGATGGAATGTGTGTTCCTACACACTGATGTGACAGTGGTTTTCATTGTCTTTATATTGGTGAAACAGTACGCAATTTTTCAGCTACTCATAGTGTCTTTCTCCACTGTCCAGTGCCCCAATACATGCACTCTGATATGCTGACTTCTAATTACCTGTATAGAGTAGTCTCGAGAAGACTGTCTGCGAATGTCTAGTAAACTTGTCAGTGGATCTGCATACCCATGAGTGTTTTCCGTGTCGAACATGGCAGACTCAACTCTTGTGTTTAGCTAGTTGATTTGTTTTGGCATGGAGGTGGTATTTCGAAGAAAATGAGGTGGAGGTTAACGATGGATAGTTGGATGCAATCAAGTGTTGTGCTGCTGGTTCAGCTTTTGTCGATGTGAGCTCTCGGTAAGGTAGGAATGAGCGGTTTTGAAGAATACTATGAATTGAGTATATTTCATTGCTTCCTATTCATCCGACTACTAAGGTTCTGTCTTTGGATCGGATCTCACGAGGAGACTTCTACTGCGTTTTGAAAACATGTGGTTTCATTTCTAGAAGAGATCCTATTTTCGAATATACTGAAAGAGACTCGTGGTAGGTGAGATTATCAACTGTTTTTGCTTCCTTGATTTGAACTTTCGACGGAGAAGTTATTGATTTATCTGTATAAAGGGTGCGTTGCATACAGAACATCCAAATGTTAATTGCTTCTGTTACGCCAGATAGAAGGAATGAGAGCGGTCTAGATGCTATTCCTCATCACCCGATAACCTGTCCGATTAGATAGACTGATGTGGGGAATCGATGTCATTGAGAAGTGTTCGGGATGAAATGGTTATTCTCTGACGCTTACATTTGAACTGGTTCCGTAGGCGATGGGAACAGTCGAATCAAGAACTATTGAAAGAATGTATGCGTTGCTCTATCTCATTCTGACGACAGGTTATGTGATGATTCAATGGAGATGGAGGATATGTGCTCCTCTGAATATCACTTTGTCAACAGTATAACTAGTTTTCCTTTGTAGGGAAACGTTTACTACTGAGATTTGACAGGTATATACTTTATCTCGAATCTGCTTGCATTCACCAATCGACGTGTAATCAGCAGAGCACATGTACGGGGATGATCGAACGGTTGGTTGGTGCTAGAGTTTGCATAATTATGTGAAGGGGAATGTGTGTTAGAGGACAGGATGGCCTTAAGTGGCCGATGGACAAATACTTGGTGGATACATGAGTAGCTGCCAAATTTTGGCTGGTTGTGATCATTGTTAAACATGATGGATATTGTCTACTTGGATTCACTGGGTCGGCAGATGCCAGGATGCCTGGTTCGAATTTGTGGATTCAGAGCAAAGTAGTAATTAACCTTCAACTCACTCTGTGTGGATTGGTTCTGTTTGTTTGTGCGAACCATACTATTTTTATGTTCAATCGCTTTGCACTCCTCAGTTAGAATGGTAGTAAATGACTGATCACCATGCTAAGAATCCCTATTGCTAAACCTTTTCTACTTGCACTCACCGAAATCTAAGCTTTTAGACATGCTGCTAACGCATCTCCCTCAAATGTCTCAGCCTGCCACTACAGTCATCTGTCAGTGTTAACATTGGGTAACCATGACCTGAATAAACCACTGCTTTTGGTCGACATGGTCCCCCTCACTTTTACACAAGAACCATTCCCTTCTCTGTCAATGTCTAATATGTAGAGCATTCTCATGCATTTGCATGGACAAATATCACACGAGTGCTCTAGCGCGTACAACGTTGACGAGAAGGAGATGGAAGACAGAGAACCAACTGCGTTGTCCAAGCGTTGGTTGTTCTTGTTTTCGTCGCGATGTTTATGAATGGAACCGATTATGTTACGCAGTATAAAGTCAATTATCATTAATAGCTGGATTCCGACTGCTTGCTCGCAAGTGTTATTGTGGCTTCTGAACAAGTGGCATTGGAAATACGACAGTACGCGATTGAACCTTGGTCAGTCACTGCCGAGCTTTCAATGTGTTTATGACTGAAATCTAAGGAACACACCTGATTTCCATACACATTATTTTGTTTTACTTCCATTTCAGGTTATGCAGCGGTTCCCAACGTTCCTGACTTCTGATAAATCATAAATCTGCTGTCCACCCGATCAATTGTCGTTCTCATGATAAAGACTCTGAAACTACTGTGAACACTACCTGCAAGATGCCTGTAGTAGACTTCTTAAGTATTATTCTTTTTCTCGGTTTTATGGTTTTCGTATTTTCATAATAAAACCAATTGTCAGATGTTGGGTGTTTCGTCTTCAACTCATCAGAGCTAGTCTCTCAGTCAGAGACATATGTATGGGGGTAGGAAATTATTCAATCGGACTTGGGCTTTCCATGTGGGCGTGAAGAAGAAGGTAAACGACAAATTAACAAATACACTTGTGAAATGCGCTCCGACAAGTTTACCATGTAGATGAGTGGACATTTGAGAGGACGACACACCTTCTTTACCGTGAACATGACAAAATATCAGAAGAGAGAGTTGTTTCTATCGGGGGGGGGGGGGGAGGGGATGAGGGGGAGAGAGAGAAGGGAAGTGTTGATACTTCATAGGATGTGGATAGGGGAAATAGGGTCAAGAGAGGGTGTTTTGACATGATGAAGATTAGGATGTTGAAATTGGTATTCTTTGTACTCGCCGTGTGTTTGAGGGATACGGAGGACACAAGGACGTGTTGCCTGGATGGAGTTACTTCTCACTCTGTTGATCAATTCGAAGAATTTGCTTGATATGAAGTTTAACACTGTTTGATGATCGAATGATTGTGATGACTGATTTATTTTATTCAAGAATGATGATTAATGAGCACTTTTGCGGAGTCTTGGGAGGACATTACAATTGTCTGCCTTCTGATTTGGTTCCAGCTCTTTTGAGCATATTTCCATTCTACAGACCTGCATAAATTTGGTTTTGTGTCACGGAGTTATTTTAGTTATTTTCCCACTATGTTCTCTTATTAATTGTTTTGTCTCTGATTGTTTTCGATTGTAATGCTGAAAGATAACTAGAATTATTCATTATGTTTCAATAAATTCGCTTTTTCTAGTGTTTTGAATCTAACGAACGTTCATTTGCGAACGGTTGCTGCAGAACTTTTGGAGATCTGTTTTATTTCTGGTGCATGATTTGCTGTATACGTCTAAGTCTGTTTAGGCAATATGATTGTGTAGTCCGTGTGCAAAATCTCAAGTTATGAATATAGACAAATATTTGTGATTTTAATTTTGTTAATATATGATACGATGTGATACAAATATTCAAAGTTTTTACAGTAGAAAATTATTTGTTCCTATCCTGATGAGTACCTCCGTACTGTTTTCACAGTCCTTTCTCCAGTTTTTGCAATCCCTCCACCTGTCACTAGCGAAAATCAAGCATATACTGAATGAAACCTTGATCGTTTTTTGAGACATGAATAGTAGTGAACCAGTATCATGATGAAAATGAAATCCGCAAGTACTACTGATTACGTTTAAGAGATGAAATGCCTACCAATTCAACAATCATCACTAACTGATTGATTTATAATTGAACTGAACGCCATTTTATGTCAAAAAGCTGATATACTGTTGTATATTTGATCACAGTTCAAACCTGAATCTTTACTCCGCACAATGATGATGCATAATAGCAGTACATAAAAAAATAATAATGATAATAATAAAATAAGACAGAAATTTGAAATGATGTGACGCTTTGATAACCTGATAGTGAGATCTCAGATCGAAATACAAAAGAGTAACCCAAACATTAAGTGCTACAAGTGAAGATGTTCAGTATGTGGTTATGACTCTCTGTTTATTTAATTGTGCTGATGCCATGTCAACTAAACTAGGCTCATTTAATCTCAATCAAGTGGTCATGCATTTCATATCACCACCAAAGTAATAGAAAGCGATACTACATTTCGTATTTGACTTTTGCCATACTTTTAGGCTGCATCTTATTCAGATTATATTGTCTTATGATTTGGTTTTGCTTGTCATATATTTTACTCCATTCAAATTGAATTTAAGTCACTAACATCCTTTCTCAAATGTTTTCGTGATGACGTCTGCATTTTCGTTCTCATAAAGTGCCAGTCTACAATAGTTATTTCAGTGATAGTTGGCTGGTTGAGGTGTAGATATACAAGACCCAAGTGAAATTCATATCTAGTATTTGTAGACTTTCTGATGCAGAAGTTCGAGTAGCTACTTTTCACGGCAACGTGGAAAAGAATGAATATAAAAAGAGTAATATTAAAGTAGACAAAAACATATGAGGGAAGAGATAATAAATATTAGAAAGGGTAATGAAAATATTCAAGACTTGAGAGATGATAAATGGTGTATACATTAAGGTAATTATGGCCGATATCCAGTTGTATCACTGTCTCCAACCACTAATTACTAACACTTCGAAGACCCTAGTCGAGAGCTCACGCCTCACCACACGGTTCAGTAAACTCTTTATTTAGGTCTCACTATGATCTATGTACTGTTTCGAATTCCATATTTCTGCTTGTTTTGAGTGGTCTGTTTATCACCTTAATCCATTTCTGACTTCCTTATTTACGAAAACTTAATTAGAGTATTGGAGCTGTGTGTGTCTATAACGCAGTATTATTTCTTTTCAGATTTATTTATGTGTATGTACAGTAAATTTTTGCGCATGACTGTGACGTGCTTCCAATGAAAAATTCAATGTTGTAGTTTTCAGTTGCTGAAGCTGTACTGTGGGAAGGAAGAACATCTTTTGATTTAAATACTACTCACTTTTGGACCTTACGACGTCTTATGAAAAGCTTTATTACAACAGAATTTTGGCACCGTTCTAAGGTATAAGAACTTTAAAAGTAAGTTTGTTAATAAAAAGCGGATATCATTTATTTGAATGCTGCAGCGACTTGGGTTTTCATTTCACCTTCAACCATTGCGCAGTGCACGATATCCCTTTTGATAAAGGATTTTACTGGCATGTTTTAGCACACCGTATTTATATACCATCAACTTTCACAGCTAAACACACTGGCAATCTCAGTTTTGTTTATAGATCAGTATTTTGATTGTTATATGTCCTTTGGGTTCCTAGTGGAACATAGGGCTTCAGTTGCACGTCTGCATTCCACTCTGTTCTCTTCAGTCTTTTGAATCTGCTCCACGACTGCCCAGATGCTTTTAGTTCTTCCTCACACGATCTTCCCCATGTCACCCTCAGCTGGGACGCCCAACTCATCTTTTCCCCTTTGGATTCCACTTGAGGACCTGTAGCGTGATGTCCCCAGTCGGCCTTCTCAGTGTATGCCCAATCCATCTTCACTTTTTTCTGCATATGTATAGGGATATCTGGTAATGATCCTTCCTCAGGTTCACCTACGGAAACCTTGTTATGACTTTTACCTCTTTTTCATAGTCAAATCAGATCGTCTTCTCGGTGTTAGTCAAGCAGGAAGTCACTTCAATGACACCACTCCAACGCCTTCACTAAACTATTCAATCGGACGTAGAGACGGGAGGTGTGGAGACATTTTAGTGTGCATCTTTTCACTAGATACTATATGCAACGACGAACACTTCACAGTCATGCTGTACACACAAGATTCGTAGGTTCCGTAGATTATGTGGACTGATAAATAACTGAAAAACACTTGTAATGAAATCGTCTAGTATCAATACAGATCGATAGTGACAGTTTTTCTACCACCTTTCTGTCATGGAAGCATATTTATGAAACTGTGTAAAGTGTAATTAAAATGGAAAATTGTGAATAGTCTGGTCACCAATTCAGCACAAGGAAAATGTGTAGAAGACAGTTTCAGCCGCATGTTTTACTGATATTAGATAACCTATAGTTTAAAACGGTCTCATAAACAGATTCACTCACCTCACAAAGAAATCGTGGAACTAGTGGTCTGTTTCATGCTTCAGACAACGAAGACTCTAGTATTTACTCAGTGAACCAACGCACTAAGCCATTCATTCATAAATCGTGCTACTATGATTGACAAGGTAAACTTCCCCTGTTGCACAAACTATACTTCACCACATTAGAAGTTGCTAAGCTGACGCTGAAATGGGACGGTTTACAATCTACACCCTGATTTATGTCTAAATATGTTACTGCCTATTTCAAAGGGTTTGCGTATATATTCAGCCATGTGATTCTGTGACGGGGAACAAACATTAATGACAGTCATATCTTCAAACTATTGCATGAAACGAACATAAATAGAGTAAACTCAAAGTCTTTAGGTAGGATATTCTACGCTGCAAGCCTCCCTATCGTGCTATCCTGTCAACAGCTGATTCATTAGTACGTGAACGATAAATTGGGTGACTGGGTCTCATCATTATGTACTTACAAGTTCCCTTGCTCCTATGGAGCTGAGTACGTCAACCGTAGTATACACTTGTTTAAGAAGCGCACACGTGAACAATACTCAGCCTGGTTGCCAAAGGGTGAGTAAAAAAGCATGGCCATCTCCACTGCTGAACACCTCGTAGACGCTGGACATCTAGCTTCTCTGAAAACCTGATCCAAAGTCCTGTACACAGTTCAAAAGGAATGAGGACTAGACATTTATGTTCAGCCGAAGCTTTGGCAGTTTTAAATCTCAATTGTGTATTCAAAAGAAACATGTACAAACACTCTCTTCACCGTGGTCTTAATCAGGTACTCTGAACCTCTGTTTATTTTTATATTATTTTTTTAAACGTTTATTCATTTATTTTTAACAGATTCCAAACATTTTATGAAAACTATTCATATTATATCTTTTGTTAGGCGATATCATTTCATTCCCTATGTGCATCTTTCGATTAAGTTTGATCTCTAATCGGAAACTTGTCTACAACATTCTATCTTTTTACCCATATATTTGCGAATGCACAGTTACGAAAGTAAACCATCGAAAAGATAATCATCTGTGTTGTAGCCGGTTGTTTTTTTTTAAATGACCAAATGAAGATTTTTCGTTGTATTTCAGGTATATATGTGTCATGGAATGCACCTCTTTCAAGTTCACATTTGTGACTAGCATATCCTTACCAGATTAATTTGATGAATGTTGAAGAATAATTAGTGACTTCAATATTCTTCGTGATAGGTTACCTGGATTATCTATCTATAGAAAGCCCTAATATGTGACATGGAAAATGTCACGCATTAGAGTGAATTTAGCAGATAAGCAACTGGCTTGGAGCACGATTAGTTTAAAGCTAAGATTTATTCACTTTTAACTCAGTGGCAACAGTT